CAAAACAAAACAAAACAAAACAAAACAAAACAAAACAAAACAAAACAAAACAAAACAAAACAAAACAAAACAAAACAAAACAAAACAAAACAATCTCTCTGTCCAAGCTGAGAGTAGGTTGCTTTGCCATTATGATGGGTGGAAATCATCTGCTGCAGTGTCTTTGGTATTGTGAATAACTTTTCTGCAGTTGCATACTCAATAAGGTTCACATTGTTTACATGTTGGTCTGAGTTTAGAGTCCTGGGAGGTTCCATTTGAGGAAATCTCTGACCTGCAGTGGGTGGGCAGCGGTGCACAGGGGGCCGTCTTCCTTGGCAAGTTCCACGGAGAAGAGGTGGCTGTGAAGAAAGTGCGGGACATCAAAGAGACTGAGATCAAACATCTCCGCAAACTCAAGCATCCCAACATTATTACTTTCAAGTGAGGAAGCTACATCCTTTTTTTAAATATATATATTAGGATATATATCTCCCAGTTATTTAACTCTGATTGCACTTCCCTTTCAGGGGTGTATGCACCCAGGCTCCCTGTTACTGTATCTTGATGGAATATTGTGCTCAAGGGCAGCTGTATGAGGTGCTGAGGGCAGGCCGTAAAATCACACCTTCCCTCCTGGTTGACTGGTCCATGGGCATTGCAGGTGGCATGAACTACCTACACCTCCACAAAATCATCCACAGAGACCTCAAGTCCCCCAAGTAAGACTCAGAAGCACAGCTGGTGTACTGACAGTTTCTTTGATACTAGAGCTTAAATTGTTTATTATGTAATCTCACCTTTCCAGCATGCTGATCACACATGATGACCTGGTGAAGATCTCTGACTTCGGGACTTCAAAGGAGCTCAGTGACAAGAGCACCAAGATGTCGTTTGCCGGCACTGTAGCCTGGATGGCTCCTGAAGTTATTCGGAATGAGCCGGTGTCAGAAAAGGTGGACATCTGGTAAGTCTGGTTAACATTCACACTTTTTTTCCTATAGGCTAGAAAAAGTTGTGCTTCTTCATCGATTACATCGATTTAACAATTATCTTTAAAATACTACACTAAAGAAAATATGCAGATAGCTTGTTGGTATTGTGAATTAATAGTTGAGATATGTTTGAAGCTTGTTTAAAATGCCTTGTTGTGATTCGTATGCATGCATTTTATCTTTTCGTTAAGATATTTTGACCTCAGTGAGATTTCTTGAATAAATAAAGCTTAACTTCTCTTAAAGGTCCTTTGGAGTGGTGCTCTGGGAAATGCTTACAGGAGAGATCCCTTATAAAGACGTCGACTCATCTGCAATCATCTGGGGTGTGGGAAACAACAGCCTTCAGCTGCCCATACCGGAGAGCTGTCCAGATGGCTTCAAGATCCTCCTCAGACAGTGCTGGTGAGCAGCGTCTGGAAATGGGCAGTTGGAATGAAAAAAAAAATGAGCACAGCAGGGAGGAGAGGACAGATGAGAATAGTAGAGGCGAGGGTTGAAAGTAGTTGTACAGGGAGCTGTAAGTCTGTGGTTTAAGGATTTTATTGATTTTACAGTGCATTGTAAATGTGCACAGCTGTGTTTTCCCATCTTGGATTTGCAGGAACTGTAAGCCCAGAAATAGACCTTCTTTCCGCCAGATCCTTCTTCATCTGGATATAGCGTCAGCCGATGTACTGTCGACTCCTCAAGAAACATATTTCAAGTCTCAGGTAATTTTCAGCTGAATGGAAGGACTTTAAAAAATTAATTACATTTTAAGATACACATATATATACAGAGGTGTGAGCAGTTAAATGAAAAACCAATATAAAGTGCCTTAGTAAGGTGGTGAGCCATTATAATCCACCAGAACTGCTTTAATGCATCTTAACATTGATTCTCAGTTAAATAAAATTCAGTTGTATTTATATAGTGCCACTGTACAAAAGCGTCTCCTCAAAGAGCTTGATGTTGTAAGTTAAAGATGCTGCAATATTAGAGAGAAAATCTCAACAACCCTATGACCAAGCACTTGTGACGGTGGGAAGGAAGAACTCCCTTTTGACAGGAAGAGACCTCAGACAGAACCAGGCACAGTGAGGGGCAATCATCTACCTTGGCCAGTTTGTTGGGTGAAGGTAAAGAGAATAGGAAAAAAAAAAGAGGGTAGAAAGAGACCAAAGATTAAACACAAACTGTGGGAGAAATAATTGAGGTTGGTGAGATGCAGTAGCAGATTATAAACACATCATGAGTGCAAAGAGGAGAGTGAAATGAAAAGAAATGGATCATGGGACGTCCCCCAGCAGCTTAAGCCTATAGAGGTGTTAACTAAGAAACTGTTCAGGGTCACATAATCAAGTCTTAACGATAAGCTTTTTCAAAAAAGAAAGTTTTAATCCCTTTAAAAGCTGAGTGTCTGTCTCCAAGTCTCTTGAACTGTTTTAGACTGATAGAGCACTATTCTGCCAAAGATATTCTCTCATTCGGTGTTTTGATGATGGTGGTTGGAGAGGCTTGTCTACCACACTGGTAGCCCCTCATTGTGATGCTGTAAGAGACCACGTCTGTCACGATATAAATGTTTCACCATGCCACCAAAATGCCCATGCATAGCATAGCAGAACCATCAAATCCCCGCTGTAGGCATCAAGGGTTTGGATTTTTCTTTTAATTTGTAGCCCATCTGCATAGACGTAGACAAAGGGACACAACTACATGTGCTTGCAAAGCAATCAGACATTAAATGTACAAAAGAGACCTGATTTTTGAAGTCACCTCTGAGGAGACAGAGCTGGTTAACAGAAATGTACTCTCATCAGGCTGAATGGAGGGAAGAGGTGAAGCAGCACTTTGAGAAAATTAAATCTGATGGCACTTGTCTCCACCGACTCGATGAGGAGCTGATCAACCGACGCCGAGAGGAGCTCAGGTTTGCTTTTTACTGTTAAAATAGTTTCATGCAAAATCAAGGCTTTACAATTAGCAGGCTAAAGATACTGATATTTTACTATGTTAGCTGACATGCAAGAGGCTCTTCCCCTCTGTCCTATTTCTCGCTGTCTGTCCTTAGCCTGCCCCTGTGAATGAAATAAGTGCCTTGCGTTCACATCTATTGTAGAGCTTTTAGATTCTCTCATGCGGATGCACAGTGACATCAGCAGCTTCTTTTCTTCTCAGGCATGCTCTGGACATTCGTGAGCATTATGAGAGAAAACTGGAGAGGGCTAACAACCTTTACATGGAGCTCAGTGCTGTCATGCTGCAGCTGGAGCTGAAAGAGAAAGAGTTGCAGAGGTGCAAATAAATTCATGAAACCACAGTATATGTTTTTGAAATGCAAGCACCATTTGCAAATAAGCCTTAGTGCATTTACACTTTGGTGGCATTTTCTTTCTAGGAGAGAACAGTCTTTGGATAAGAAGTATCCGGGATTGTTTAAGCACCATAGTTCCAGACAGAGCAGCTCGTCAAATTCCATGGACAAACTCATCAAGAAGAGAAACGTCCCACAAAAACTTCCCTCGGGAAAGAGGTGTGAGATTTCATTTTATTGGGTGAAACTGGAATAAATCAGTGAATATTCATCAGCCTTGTGGATTGTAGTTTTTGACTAATCCTTCCCACTCTTTCAGGCCAGACATTCTTAAGTCTGAGGTAATCATTCCCAAAATGGACTCCTCCGTAATGCAAGTCACTATTCCAGCCTGCCCTAACAGGAGCTCCACTTCTCCCAGCCGGTCTCGGAGGGTAAAGACCCGCCATCGTAAGCCCGGTAAGGGCAGCAGTGGGGACCTGGCTGGACTTAAAGCCAATCAATCCTCCCCTAACCGGGACACAACTGCCCAAGTTAACAGTTCTACCACTAACACCTCGAAGCAGCTCCTGGAGCCTTCCGCAGCCCTGCGGGGCCTCAGTCACGAGCAGCAACAGAGGCAGCTATCCTCCTCCAGCCCTGACCTCATCTGCACCACGCTAGAGGCAGACAGCCAAGGAAAAGGGGAGCCCTCTGTGGGTGGGCTGGAGAGAGGAGGGAGCCTTAGTGCCTCTGCAGGTTTAGGGGGGTCAGAGGGAGGGGCGGCCGGTCTGGATGATCTCACAGAAACCCCCCCACGCAGTGACACTCCCAGCGAGGATGCTGCATCATTCCCGTTCTCCAGCAGCCCGGACTCACCGTGTGGGAGGGGGGCAGCAGCAGGACGGGGCTCTCTGGGATCTCCACGCCTTCCTCACGATGGGGAAGATAAAGAGGAGGGAGCAGGTGTTGTGAGGCTGCCCCGGGGAGCATCAGGTGGAATCGGGAGTCAGCACCTCACACCTTCAGCCATTCTGTACAGGGCAGCTATCACACGCAAACAGGTACGGTGCAGGATACCGCTCCTTAATCCTCACTGTCCCCTTGGTGATCGTTTTCAGTTGTGCATTTTTCATGTTTCTGACTACAGAGGCGTGGAGTGTCATCAGAAGAGGAGGAGGGTGAAGTTGACAGTGAGGTTGAGTTACCACGGAGACGGTGAGTAACTGTCCTTCATTACTTGAAAATTCCCTCCAGCCATCTTCCCTCTTTAACAAGTTGCTGTTTTATTCAGAGAGCAAATTTATGTCAATCTTTACCAGAATCAGAGATTCTTTTTTTGTTTGTTTTGTTCCTTCTTAATCGCTCCAGACGCCCGACCAGCATTACCAAGTGCCAGTCGGTGTCTACATTCAGTTCAGAAAATCTGTCTGTATCGGACGGTGAAGAGGGCCACACAACTGACCACTCTCACAGCGGTACTCCCGATGTTGTCAGCACTAACACCGACGACAGGTTGGATGACCGCAGCGACGACCTCCTTTCTCAGGGGTCGGAAATCCCTGTGGACAACACCGACCCTGCCCAGGCTTCTGATGGCCTGTCAGAGAGAGATGGAGCTCTGGGCCAGTCCAAGGCTCAGCTGGATGCCGGGCAGAATCCTAATGAGGTAAAGAAGCTGCACAGAGGACCGCATGTGTCAGCTTTGGTCTTCTCCTTAGATGAGTGTAGCCACTGGTGAAAAGTACGACTCAAAACCTGTACTTGACTATATGCATTTTATTTTATTTCATGTTAGACTACCCTGATACAGTTCAGGGTTATATTTTACTTTTTGCGCAATACAGACTGCCAAAAAAAAAAGTTAGAAGGTGAGGGGAACTGGAGTTAATTCAAAGCCACTCTAACAGAGACAAGAGCCAGAAATGAGCATTATAGATTCCCTTTAATTATGTTATGAACCTTCAGTTTAATGTGGTGACCCTGAGGATAGAGCTGTTGAACACAATGAACACAACTGTCAGATTGTATCAGACGAAGAGAAACTCTCTCACTTTACCCAACTACACCAATGATATCTTACCATGTAATACAGTTATTTTTACTTTTCACCATTGATCATTTTATTTAAAGTTGCAGTTGAATACCTTGATGGATGAATGGATGCATTTTAAAACACCTGCTTGTGTTAGTGGCAACAACTAAATCTCATCCTTGGAAGGCTCTAATTGTTTTACTTTCACTTCATTCTTCTTGGCCTTGTTTGCCTCTTTTCAATTGTGTGGTTGATATTTTATGCTTGTTCAGGTTATTTAAGTGTCAACCATTTCACATACAAACAAAGTGCCATCCTCTTTCTCCTTTAGTTCTTCAATCAAACTTTGATTTTGCAGGAAAATGTCACACCCAGTGGCAGTGAAAGCAAGGCAACCAGTCTCATCACTTAGCACTAAATGTGCGATCAACTTTTTCATCATAATGATCTAGTTAAATAAAACAAACACACAAAATGAAACTGTCTAAATACGGGGTCTCCCACCACTGCTAAAATTACACTCCAAATTCAGGGTTCGCATCTTTTATTTCACGCTTCCATTTTTGGATCGTTGACACTGAAATTAGGTTTATGCTCATGTCTGCTGCTGGTCATGTATCGCACACTTTTTTCCTCTTCCTGCTCTCTTTTTAGAGTCGAGCCTTGTGCGATGATTCTGACTGCGACAGTGCTGAGCTGGATCAGTCAGGTAGTGGCGAGCTCAGCCGTCCTCCCAGTGCCGGAGCGTGGGCGCCGCCATCTCAACCTTATCAGTGGTCTCCACAGGCTCCCCATACAGGACCTCCATAGATCACTGGACACTAGGAAAGATCCAGCTACTCTACAGTGAGCAACCATCACAGGCGTACACCGGTCTGTCAGTGCAGTACATTACTGTTGTCATGAGGGATCACACCTACTACACCACTCAGACTATGACAAGTTGACTTATGGTGTCTCATAAGTTTGTTGGCTGGCAAACCTGCACCAGATGACATAGGACATTTGTCATATCCTGACTTCAGATATTTTGGCAGCTTGTGACATCAGATAAATGTCATTTAGGTTCAGTAGGGTTTGATATTTTTTTCTTTCAGGCAGGATAGTTCCAGTTTGCAAAAACCCTTCCACAGATGCACACGCACGCACAAGAAGATACCACACTCTTAGTCCTTTAAACACTCTAACCTTCACTCTGGGAGCATCCTCCATGGTACTCCACACACTAATGCATTAAATACTAATGAATAATAAATGTAAATATCCATGACATACCACATGAGAAATATCTAACTTTATTTTATTTGTAAGATAAAAATGTAAGACTTAACAGTATGCAGCCCTGTGAACAAAATGCATGACTACATGTTTATAATTTATGGTTCGAATGTGTCCGTTTTATATTTTGTGAAAGTTTACACTTTTTTAATCCTGAAAGTATTAATTGAGTTTTTTTTCTGTTTTGTTAATAAATGTTATCACTAAAAAAAAAAAAAAAAAAAGAGTCAAAAATGGAATGAAAATACTCACATTGATCGATCATGATGCATAATTTGGGTTCTCAGTAGCTAAAATTTTATTTATTTTTTAAACCCTCCTACTACTGAGTTTCAAATACACATATGACACACTCGAGGTTTTTATAGAGTTTCTAAAATTTTTGATGGGGTGGGAGGTCTTTTGGTTCACTCGAAATGCACCTCTGCTATTGTATATACTCAGTTAACCAGCTTATTTAGTACATCGAGCTAAAATTCTTGCAAAGACTTCCTTGCAGCACTTTATGGGGTTTTTGTTGAAACTGTTTTAAAAGGCTGTGGATTCAAGTGGAATATCATTGTGGAGAATGTAATTTGTTTGTGGTGTGGGTAAACTATATTTCACTAAAGTTGTGCTTGTCATTTAGCCGGGGTGTATAAAATTATGTAGAAGCGTTTTGGAGGTACCGTCGCCACAAACTGACACAACCAGTTGAATCAGACCCTCCCTAAAACAGTTTTAATATAAACTCAACATTCTAACCTCCAGTAAGGTAGCATTTATTGCAGGACTGTTGCATAAGACTGCATTTGTTTTAGCTATTTGTTCTTAATAAACTGGCAACATATTACTGCTATACAATTTTATGACATTACTGGTGCTAGCAATGTCTGCTTTTAACCATTTCAGCAGTTAAGTGCAGAAGAAATCCACTGTTTTAACACCAAACTGTAGCGCAATGAATGGAGTCAGACTAGTTTTAAAATGTAATTAGTTCAGACGAATCATTTTCTATTTCTACTTCTCAGTTGTTAAAGGCTTATATTCCACCTTTGGCAACATAACAGTTGGCCAGAGAGCTAGGTGTTCTTGTTAGCAGCTGATACCTTTGAAATGAGTTTTCTGGCCTTCTGCAGCTATTTCTTCTTCTGTGTTCACATGACTTGCTGAACCAGAATTAGAATGACTACATGTGATAGTTTTCTTTGATGCTAACTAAAAGCGCGCCCTTGAGGTAGTGTCTTGTTTAAGTATAGGATTCTGCATTCAGGTCATACTGAATAAATCTTATATGTGCAGACATGCATGGAAAACTCCTGACGGTTGACCTAATGTGGAGTCATAAAGAGTTTGATTTAAGCCTGTTGGTGTGACTGCATGGTTTAGCACCAGAGGTGGGGATCGCACAGTATATTACCGTAAGATACAATCATGATACCAGTTGTATCGCGAAACATTCTGCAATAGTTAATATATTGCAAGACAATCATCTACGATACAGGATCATATCTGTGTAAATCAGAAAGAACTAAAGAAAAAAAATACCCCCTAAAAAAATATCAATCATTCACTTGTTTTTAGTTTCTAATAATTAGCTTTATTACTTTAATAAAGTGTCCGTTTATTTGAGTAGCTATATGATTTGCTTTCCTCTTCTGTTATTTCTCCTAAGTTTCTTTTCATTCGATACATTTTGCGGCATCATGAAGAGTCACGAAGGACTCCAGTGTGTCAAACGACTGAGCAAAATCCAGTTACAGCGCCTGCATATGTAATTTAAAAAAAAAAATGCTGATATTTGTGGCGTTCAAAACGGGCAAAAATCTCAGCTTTGCAGTGCTTCTAAAGTAACTAATGTTGGATCACTAAATAAACTACAAATAGTAGCCCGATGTGTGCACGTTCTGTGTGACAGATCTCACTATTCATTAGGCGGTCCAACATGCTGGCTCACAAAGCAGCGCACTTAAAAATAAATAAATCATCCATTACACACGGTAGCTTCTTTCAAACTAGTTCATCTTTGTTTAGCATTCTTTCATCAGGCATAGTTTGCACAATACTGTACTATACCCCATGGAGGTTTGGTGGCAAAGTGCACAAGAGATTATATTATGCATAGATATAAAGGAAAATAAATAGGACTTATCACATCAAAAATTTAATATTATTGTTTCAAATACTGGTAAATATATTTGTGACCCTTACAGATGTGACTTTTTTTTGCCTCTTTAAAGAGAGCCCCCACCTAACTCGAACCCAGGACATTTGGTTCCAGTGCATCTTTGACTTGTAAGAGAAAGCAATTTGATTTGTTGCTTGATGTGTAAATGCAGCAGAAAACCGAAAAGCAGCAGCTCTCATCCACGAAACCTAAATAGACTGATTTGTGAAATCGGTGGAGTACCATGCAGTAATGAACCAAAAGGCCTCCGGTTGTTCAGGATGTTGGCAGGCTTCATAAAAACCTCATCTGTTCCTTTTACCCTTTAAGATTACTGCAGAAGTACCCAGATAAAGAATAGAGCACTTCTCTGTGATGGTTACTAGTAGAACAGTAAGTATCCTTTGGAGTTTGAATAGAAATGTTTTGTTTTTATACAGCATTGCACATTGTACTTGTAACATAGGAATTATATCAAAAGCAAAATATTATGAGCAACAATAAATAATGTATTGGTTACAAAAAACAAAGCTGGGTGTGATGTTTGTTTTAAAAGACAGGTCATGCTATAGCTACAGTTTGTGCTGTCGTTGCATCAAAGACTGCTCAACAAGAAATAAATGACTATTTTCAATCTCTTTGAGCATGTCCAAAGTGTGCCCGTGTTAATTTATGACAAATTCGCTTGCTCGCCTCTGTACACCACAGTGCATTTTATATCATAATGTAGTATAGACTCGAGGGGTTTAACAACAGTATTGACCTCAACATCAAGGTGAAGACATTTTGCAAATGTGATAACTCAAGAAGGATGTCACCTAGCATTTTGAAACAGATACCATAGGTGCTTCTACTTGGGAGGCTGAGGGGAAGCACTGACCGGTATTTTCATGCAGTCTTTTATTTCAGTGCATGGGAAGAAGACCATCAACGGGCTGAAAGAAAACAAAACTAAAAAAAAGAAGAATGGGCACAAACTTTAGCAGTCACCAAATCAAATCAAATATTTGGTCAAGAAAAAAAAAAAAAAAAAAAAAAATTGTCTTGAAAGAAAGAAAATTGAGCATTTAAGGCCTAAAATCAAGAGATCGCATTAAGGTGCAAAGCATTTGTTATACTCAAAAACAGCAAGGCCAGATTAGATTTAGCCAGAAAACTTCTAAAAGAGCAAACACTTTTGGATGGGAAAAACAAAACAAAACAAAAAAAAAAAACAAACCCCAAAACAAAAAAGTCTGAAATGAAACCAACTTGCACCAGAATGATGGGAAGAGAAACAGGTGGAGACAGTGTTATGGCAATGACATGAATGGCTCCCAGTGGAACCGGGTCACCAGCGGTTATTAAATAATGTGACTGCTGACAGAAGTAGCAGGATGAATTCTGTAGCATACAGGGCTCCACTCTTTGCTCAGAACACAGCACGGTATACTTTGTGCAATGACTCAAAAGTAAAAAGACCCACAAACATGGGTCAACTGAAGGTGGCTGTAATAAAGGCCTCTCAAGGCATGACACATTATTTGGTAATGCCCATGGGTTCTAGACTTCAGGCAGAAGTCCCCCCCCCCCGATCCACCCCTTTTCCCCGTGATTGCCTTTTTTTTTTTTTTTTTTAAAAATACAACAAAACAAAAACAAAAAAAAAAGTCTCAATCCCCATGAGATGGTACCAAAAAGGAAAAAGAAGAACAAAGGACTGTTTAAGCATTTCACATCTTTTATTTCTGCATTTCATTTCTTCAACAATTTAATTGCACCCAGATCTACAATATTTCGAAAACGTGCACAAAAACGTGAGTTTCTTCATCCTGCAAAGAATAATAAAAAATAAAATCTGACCCAGGCAAAAAAGATAGCAGGAAACTAGTGTTAATTCTATAATTCTCCTTCTAATTAATCATAATTTAATACCTCAGCATAATATACTTAAAGACCAATATGTCTTGTAGTTTTGCCCCTTGCAGCATTCCCCCTCCCTGCAGTTAAAAAAAATATTTCTCTATTTAAAACAAACATTTCAATGTTATTATCATCACCACCATGGTCTTAGTAATTTAAGAGAAAAGAATATATTTTCCTCTTATTTAAGCCCACTCCTCATAACCAAAGCCCACCCACCCTTATCAGAATCCAATACACAACAATGCTCAAAATCCCAGGGTCTGCACTACGAAGCAGGTTCAGCATACCTACGATGCCTTCTTACTGTCCGACTATAACAGACATCATGCCACGATATCAATGTGGTAAGTCAAAGCTTTTTCTGAATATAGCAATGAGCCACAAAATTCTTAACTATAATCCTCAAACAAATATGTGAGTTTCTGCAGCCAAAGCCGGTAAAAGCTTTGTGTAAATGAGTAAGATAGGCTCATTAATATCACTGCCCTATCATTAAGGCACGAGTAGATCTATCATTACAAATGTGTATTCCAATAAACTGATGTGTTCCTCAGACGTCATCTTATGGCAAATGAGACATTTTAGCATTTTTGTTTCAAGCTGCAAACCTGGTGGCATCAACAAGCCTTGGAAGCATGTAAAGCACAAACAGAAAAACATAATTCAAACCTGTATGTGCGCTGTACTCGTCAGAAAACGCTACTGAGGTTAGACCGTTTCAGAACACCCCATACCTCATAAGATCCAGTCTACCCAAAGGTATCTTCTAAAACCAGTTAATTACTCAAAACCGACTGACCAGTTGATGCTTTTATATATGCTGATCTGTTACCTCATGCATGTGTGTGGTCCAAGTTATCACTGCAATGTGTCCCATTAAGGAACTGAACTGACTACTGTGTAACCTTCAGATCCCAAGATTACCTGGCGTTATGGCGCTAACCACAAATCCCGCTTCGTAGTGCAGGCCTCTGGTTCAAGAAATAAAACGGATGGAAATACAGGAATGACACAAAATAATTACTCAGCAAATTAGAGGTGAGACATGATGTAGCTTAAAAAAAATTCTCATCTGAACCCGCACTAGACAAGGGGTAAATTACCTTCGGACTAAAAGGTTTTCCCTGCATACACCTTCAGCTGAAGATCACTTAGACCCAGTGAGACCCGTTA